TCGGCGGGGGAATCACGAGGCCGCAGCTCGCGGGGGCAGCTCGTCGGCGGAGCGGCGGGGCTCCTTTGCAGGTGCCTGACTGCCTCTGGAGCTTTATAGGGCGATTATGAACCCAGCTCACGGTTTTGCGCCCGAAAAAAAAGGTCCTATGAGTAATCCAGAACGTACTCAACACACTCTATTTTTTGATACAGGGCATGGTGTCGGTTGAGAGGAGGGGTAGGATAATTCCTACGAAGAATTCTGCCTTGCTGAGCGTTTCTTTTTTCTCCCCTCCTATATCCTCCCCCTCCCATATCTTGGAGGAGACAGGAGCAGTGGCTTCGGTTCAATCCCTTTCCAAGCGAGTCCCTCATCAGACTCCGCGCTCCTTCCTCGAACGATCTAGCTCGTGTCCTCGCTGTCTGTCTGCTGAGCCAGGGGAGGACCACTCAGACCGTGGAGGAACTGCCCTCCAGCTCAGGCCTCCCCAAAGCACCTTGCTTGAGCACAGCTACTCGGTGCCACCGTTTTTTCATTCGCTAAGCGCGCCCTTCTAGCTTTGGCCCCCTTGGTGAGGCGCAAAGAAGTCCTCCTGATTGATCACGTCTGAAGGTTAATAACACGCACGAGCGCCGCCGCGCACGCATGAGCAACCAGAGCATGAAGGTGGTCCCGGAGGGGCCCTCGTGGACCTGGCTCACTCCCTCGCTCTCCTTCGGATCTCACACCCTTTAAGGGTTCTCTCTTTGCAGTATTTAAGAACGTTTAATGAAAAGCCCCTCGCCGTAAAAGGCGTTGACGAGAAAGTTCCCACCAGAGGGCGCCAAGCGCCCAGATACCAGGAGGCCCGCCGGGTCTTTCCTCGGATGACCGAGCCAACACCTGGAGGGGCCGGCCAGGTTCTGTTACTTGCTGGTCCTTTCGCTAATTCACGTCACCCCCTTTCCTCTCGCTCAGTTTCTTTTTCTTTAGGGGAAAACAAAGTTGATCTGTGTGCGTATCTGATACCGTGTGCTCTAATTCCTTTATTCGTTTCGCAGTGGTTTTATTTTTCCTGTTGCGGTGCAGCAGGCTGGGTTATTTATGCTCACGTCTGGGGCCTGGCTGGTTCATCGAGGCCCGTCCCTTCTCTCTGAATGTCTTACCGATTCTCACCTCTACACAGTGGAAATGCTGAAAATCTTACAAATCACTGGAAATTCCACAAGGGAGATGGAAGATTCCCCCTGGAGGGATGTATTCCGATCAGCGAGAGGGATCTCGCTGTGAGATTTGAAATAACCGCGTCGCCTTTATACTAGAGAAAATATTGTCGCCCTCCCCCCACCTTGCAATAAAAGCTCGGACGCTTTTTAAGCGTTCGGAACCGCAGGGCGCGCGGTTAATGGAACCGCGGTCTCCAGAGCTCGGGCTGAGCAGGTGCAGATGCCCGCTCAGCGTAAGGAACGTACCCCCAAACCGCGCACCCCGCGGCTTCTCCGAGACTCTTGAAATGCGCGGTTTACAAAAGGTGAGGCTCGGAATTCCATTCGCGCCCCCCTCACCAACCTTGGCTAAAAGAGGTGGTGGCGCCAATCAGGGAGCCTGGTGTCAGTGCTAAATCATTCCAGACAACCGGGCAAGGATACAGAGGGAGGGGCAGTCCTCGGAGCCCACTGTCCTGCGTAGACGCCTGCTCGCCTTCGGTCCTCTTTACATTTTCCCAACACCAGAGATTCCCTGGAATGGAAGATTCGTTTGCTTCACCTGTGGCGCCCATTGATAAATTTTCAAACGCTCCCTCCTCTGACCTCAGAATCCAAAACTCTCAACCCTAACGTTTTAGCCAAGAGAATTGACCTGTTGGAAGAAAACAAAAATTTCCTTCAAAACTAGGGATCATAAAATCAAGCAGAGTCTGCTCAGCTTCAAGGATATCACTTTCTCCTTGACGGCGAGGAGTGAAGAAATGAAGGCTCCTGCTCGTCTTAATTCTAAAATATTTCATTGGATGTTAATAATTAAACGAATATTTTAAACTTACCCACTATGTGCCAGACACTGTTTTCTTGGAGTTTGCATTGTCCCTGTAATTCGTTACCCTGCACTCAAGGAGTTGACATTCCAGAGAGGCAGGGAGAGGAGCAGACCCCAGAACTTCGTGGCTTTGACTTAATTTCCAGTTGTCTCTCACTCCAACTCATTATCCTGGACTCATGGGGTGGGGGATCTGGGGCCTCAAGTCACACCCAGATCTAGTATGCTGTTTTGAGACCGGTGCCGTTCTTTCAGCACCAGGGACAGCAACCATGGACTGGCCCCCTGGCCCGCCTTTCGTCCGCTTCCTCCACTAGTTCTCGGCCAGCCCGCCCGGCTCACCCCTGCCCTTCTCCCTCCCGGCAGGAACTGCTGTTATTTGGTTTGCTTGGTTAAGAGCAAGGGGTATTTCGCCCACTTCTCCCCTGGTAAGAATTTGGACTAAGGGTGGCTGTCGTTGTCATTTCATTCTTCAGACATTTGGGATCTATATTTTTTGTTTCTGTTTTTCACTCTTCTTTTCATCTTTTACTACTTCCGTGGGAGTCTGTTTAATGGGGGTGGAAAAAAGATATCCTCTCTAGGGACTCGAACCGGTAATGAGGGGTAGCCCGGAAGGGCGTGGTGTCCGCCCAGCTGTTTCGTTTGCATTTGATCTAGGGTTTAGTGCTTTGAAGAAATGGGAACCTGATGCCCAAAGGCATAAAAAAGAGGGGGCGATGTGCGACCATTCTGGGCTCAAGTTCCTGGGTGTTGGGGGTTTTCTTGCAGCTCCTGCTGCTCAATCCTGTCTGTCGAGGACAATTTTCCCCTGGGTCAACCGTGGCTGGGACTTGGGAACACCGACCCTCCGCCCACAATGTCCTTTGCTTAAGCAGTTCAAAGATATTCTATCCGGATTTGAGGCCGGGCCTTTTCTGAAAAAGAAGAATGGGGGTGGGTGGGAGGAGTATAAGGCGTAGAAGGGGCACCCAAGCCGGCAGTGGGGGAGATTTTTATCCGTAAAAATATGGTCGGTCAAGGTGAGTAGATACGAAACGTCAATCGTTTTTTTCCCCCTTTGACGCACTTAGCATTTTTATCCTCCAGAAAGGTAATTTGGAGCCACAGTGTTGGTTCTTTTCGGCAGGCTCTTTACGGTCTATTTTAAGTATCTAATTTACGACCGGGAAAAAAGAGGCAGTGCTCACCGTTTAAACGTCTGTCTCCTGAGACGAGTGGAGAAAGCGTTGCTTTTCTTAATTCGGAGCTGAGTTCGTTTCTCTGTGTTTCTGTACTTTAAAGACAGAGCAGCGAATCGTTCTGGACCTTCTTCGGAAGATCATAGCTAAATTCACACCCCCATCCCAACTGACCACGCGACGTTCACTCCTGGGCGACAGGAAAGGGTTAAAAGGACGACAAGAAGGCGGAATTCCAGCCAGAACACTGAAGACCCTGGAAAACAGCTGTATTCCTTAGAAAACTGTCAAATGGTCCTTCCCTCTTAATATTCAGAAGATGAAAACAGTTTGATATTAAGAAAGTAATCAAGAAAGACAAGGCCGTTTGTTAGTTAGGCAGATTTTGTCCGATTCTTAAAATGCCCAGTGTTTGCCATTCCAAGCACAAACACAGAGCGACCACCAGGTGGCGATAGATTACAGTTTCTGAGAAGAAACAACGGGCCCGACAGGGGAGCAGTTCTTGAAGGAAGAATGCGTTCTCTTCCCAGTTCCCATCCATCCCTGCCATATTTCACAAAGCAAAATGCTCAGAAATGCTCTGGAAGTGACCTGAAACACCCAGGGTCCTCTGTTTCTTCGGTGAAAGAGGAGGGAACAGGTGGCTTCTGCTTCTTTCCCATACAGCTGCACCCCAAAGACAGCCTTAAGTGAGCCCTTGATGATATGCAAGAAACTGTTTCACTGCAAAACTGGAAACCAAGGAAATAGATCTGCAGTAATAATTGTAATTTTGACAGGGCGCATGAAAGATGTATGTGTTTTCTGCCCTCCTGTCAACAAAAGCCAAGGCAAAATCAGTCCTTTACCCAAATGGGATGCCAGAAAGAGGATTTACCACATAAAATGCTTAGTCTCTGTCTAGCAACACGATGGACTGAAATGGTTATCCTCATGTCAGAGAGGTGAGAAACCAGTCTTATGAAAATTGTGTATAAATTTATTGTATAAATTTGCATTTAATTATCACTTGAGGTCTTCTGTTTTAAACTTAAGCCCAGAGAGGTTGCAGGACTTCTCAGACCACACAGTGAGAGCGAAGTTGGCTGGGAACTTTCTTCCTTCCATCCCAGAGCCCTGTGCACTGCATGGTGAGGCCTTCTAGCTCTGATGCTTAATACCCATTTGACCTTGGGGGGAAAAACCACTTATTTCTGGGATCTCCCACCGGGAGGGTTAGGATACCAGATGGAACCAGAGCCTTCATTCATTTGAAATCGTTTTAGTATTTTGTTACTCTTATCCCTGGAGGCTTTTCTCACATAAATGGTATGGGCCCAAGGACCTCTTGAGGTCATCAAAACAGGAGACAAAGTAAAAACTTTGAAGTCAAGACTTGAGTTTACATCTTGATTCTCCTTACCAAAAATATTTAATTACAGGACCAGCAGTTAGCATAATGGCTATGTCACTGAACTCCCATGTAGTAGACCACAGTTCGAGTCCCAGACCCCGTGGCTTAAAATCACACAGGGCACGTGTACTTGTGTGCCTAACATCCCAAGAGGAGAATGGAGAAGAAGGGATTGCGGCGTGGCCATCCCCCCTGGGGGATGATTTCTCGCTTTCTGTCTCTCTGTCTTTCTGGCAAGCAAATGCACCCTATAACAAAAACCTCTCCCCCCCGCCCCCCCAAAAAAAAGAAATTTTAATTGTTTTGTTTTCTCAACCATCAAATGGGGCTAAGACCAGCTTTGTGGCCTTTCTCATCTAATGCTCATATATAGTAAGTTCAACTGTGCCTGGCTTGTGGTGATCAATAGATGTTAACGGCTGCTCTTGCCCCTTCCCCTTTGTTCAACAGTGATTTCTACACATTTAAATTTTTTCTTGGGGCCAGCATATAGTATGGTGGTTAAGGCACTGGATCTGACATGGTTGACTGAGTTGTTCAAGCTCTGGACCTAGAGGCATGAAAAACACACGAGGTGTGTGTTCATGTGTGCCCAAAAAGTCCTGAGAGGAGGGAATCAGCAGTTAGCGTAACGGCTATGTCGCTGGATTCCCTCGTAGTCGACCGCGGTTCGCGTCCTGGACCCGGTGGCTTAAAACTCACGCCGGGCGCATGTGCGTGCGTGCCCAAGATCCCAAGAGGAGAATGGAAGAGAAGGGATTGCGGCGTGACCATCCCCCCTGGGGGGGTGATTTCTTGCTTTTTGTCTCTCTGTCTCTCTCTGTCTGTCTCACGAGCGCATGCGCCCTATAGTGAAAACCTCTCAAAAGAAAAGAAAAATCCTGAGAGGAGACTAGAGAAGGGATTGCAGTGTGGTCATCCTTCCCAGGTGTCATTTCTCACTCTCTCTCTCTCTCGTCTTTCTCTGTTGAGCACACAAGACTTATAGCAAAAATAAATAAGTAATTTTTTTTCTTGGAGACAGATAGTGGTAGAACAGTAAAACTCAACATGCTGCAAGGTTCCTGGTTTGTAACCAGAGCTCCTCGATTACATGGGGGCATGCCTGTGAGACTGTGAGACCGTCCACCAGGGGGTGCTGTTTCTGTCTCTCTCATGGAAGAAATTGAAATTTTTTTCTCCTTTTGCATGGATAAGCTAACATTTGTTTTATTTTGTTGCCCATTTGTTTTCATCAAAACTGCTTTATTCCCTGACATAGGACCCATGGCCCTCTGTTTTTGGTGATTTAAAAGTTTTTGTAATTATGGATTATCTCTAGGATTTTTTTGAGAGAGATTTTTGCAATAGGGCTCATGTGCTCACCAGAGAAACAGAGACAGAAGTGAGAAATCACCCCCTGGGGGGATGGCCATGCCACAATCCCTTCTTCTCCATTCTCCTCTTAGGATTTTGAGCACACACACACACACACACACACACACACACATGTGCCTGGCATGAGTTTTAAGCCACTGGGTCCGGGACTTGAACTGTGGTTGACTATGTGGGAGTCCAGCAATATAACCATTATGCCATTATGCTGGTTTGGATTTCTATAGGATTTGATCTTTAGATCTTTTCTCTTTTCTGCCTTCATTTTTTCCCTCTATGGTCTTATCCAGTCTCATAGCTTGTAATGCCATTGACATGTTGTTGAATCCAAAATTTGTACCTTTACCTCTGCCCAACATTCCAAGTTCATGTATGTAGCTGAATTCTCAGATTTTTTTTTTTTGAGAGGTTTTTGCTATAGGGTACATGCGCTCACCAGACAGACTGAGAGAGACAGACAGAAAGCGAGAAAGCACCCCCCAGGTGGCCACGCCGCAATCCCTTTTCCTCCATTCTCCTTTCGGGATCTTGGGCAAGCACGCACATGTGCACGACGTGAGTTTTAAGTCACTGGGTCCGGGACGCGAACCACGGTCGACTATGTGGGAGTTCAGCAACATAGCCGTTATGCTAACTACTGGTCCCGCTGAATTCTCGCTGAATTTTAACAGATACCTTAAAGTGTCCTAAATTGAGCCTCCAATCTCTTCCCCCAACTCGGCTGTTAGAGTCTTCTCTGTCTCAGTAACAGTAAGCAACTCCATCCTTCCACTTGGTTTGCCAAAAACCTTGGAGTTATCACTCTTACCTTTCAATTTGTTGGTAAATTCTGTTGGATCTATTTTCAAGTGCTGATTTGAAACTGTTTCTGCTTACTGTCCCCCATCCTCTTCCCTAACACATATAGTGTCCAACATGAGATCACAGTCATGTCATAGCTTTCCTCTACCCAGAACCCTCTAGTGGTCCCTACAAGGCCCTCCTTGGTCTGGTCTTTCCTGTTGGAGCTTTGCCATTGCTCTGCTCCAACCTCCCTCTGGCCCAGTGACACTGACCTCCTTGCTGTTTCCAGAACACTCTGGACATGCTCTCACCTCAGGAACTTTGCAATTACAGGTCCTCTGCTGGGAAAGCTCTTTCTTGTGTGGTGTACATAGGGTTTGTTTCTTCTCACTCTGACCTTTGCCCAAATGTTTTTTCAGGTCTTTTTTTTTTTTTTTTTAGAGTTTTTTGCCATAGGGCGT